AGGCCACACTCCAAAAGTCATTTGCTTTCCTGGATCAGGGGCCATTCTTGTGATTGTACAGATGAAGTATTTTTACCTGCTGAATTACAAACAAGATTTGCAGCTGGGTGAAGAAGATTAATTGCACCATTTTATTTGCTTAATGAACACTTGGGAACATGTGTTTGCAAGGAGAGGGTGTCCTAATCATGGACTAAGGATGCACTGTAAATGGATGGAAATTAAAAGCCCAAGACAAACCACTTGCAGAATGTCTCACGGGCATCTCTCATGGGGAAATGTTGCAATCTTCAGTTTTATTAGTTTTTTTAAGCCCAAAATTCTTTAAAACTGGATGTTAGTATAGCCCCATGGCTCTGTGATACCAAGCGCTCTGGCACCATGTGGGTGTTGGAATCTTTACCCCCACAAGCACAACTGCTCCTGTCTTGTTCGTACATTACCTCCCCCCAGCCTTTCCTCCCTGCCCAACAAATTCATGTTGAAGGATGGAAGAGCTCAAATGGGATGTTTTACCACCCTGAGCAGGGTTGCTCCTTACTATTCCTCCCCAGAGCCTGGATCTCCAGCCCCACACCACCCGCCTTTCACCACCTCCCCTGGGGATCGTCCAAGGGTCTCAAGCACACTCAGCCTTCTGACAAAGCTTCTCCAATTTGTTTGTTATTTTTCCTCTAGATTTATTTATGAAAGCTGCGTGCCGAAACGCCCTACCCTCACACCACCCCTTTTCTCTCCATTTTGTTTCCTGCGGGGTATTTCACCCTGACACACCAAATAAAGACATAAAGCAGAAGGTGGGGAACAATATAGCCCTGGCTGCAGAGCACTGGCAAGAAGAGAAGCTTGTAGAGATAAAATCAGTTTTTTCCCCCTCTTCACAGGACCTCGCTGCGGGATGTTCAGGGCTTCCTGCTGCAGCCCCTGGATGGCCAGCAGCCCCTGGCCAGGGCTCTGCTCTCCCTAACGCAATTACAGTCTGCAAACATTTAAAGGCAGTTTCTTTTGAGTTAGCCACATGCTTCAAATTGTTATGTGGTTAACCGCTGAGAACAAACCCCCACACAAATACCTACGGATCAACTTGCTCGAGCCAGGGTGGTAGAGGTGGGGGCGGAAGGGGAGGGGGGAGGCTTCCTCATTTTGCTTTTGATGAGAAGAAAATAGAGTTTTCTTTTGACTTTTCCAAACTGCTAGCAGCCACTGCGTCACAGTGTGCACTGATCGTTGCCGTTTGCACATTTGTTCACATTTACTGCTGATGAAAGGAGCCTTGTTCAGCAGCCGTGGACATATACGCCATGGACCAAGTCCTCCACTGGTGTAAATCAGCTCATCTGATGAATGAGAACTGAAAATGCAACCTCCTCTCCGTGCATGCCGTGCAGACACCAAGCCAGGGGAAGACTTCTGCGCTTTGACATTGCCCTATCCCATGTCCCTTAACTCTTATAAAAGCTGAATACTTTTCTGCTGACTCACAGAGGCAGATGGATTTTGTTAACTCCAGCTGAGATAGAGGAGGATACATGAAAAGCATGGCTGCTTCTCGGGGGGGGTGTGGGG